AGGCAGGGGTGTCAGCTGAATTCAGGAGCCCTGGGGTCTGTGGCTCTGTGGCCCCCACGTTGTTGAGCTCCTTCTGGAAGCTCCTGCCCCACGCTGCCCAAGGATGCACCTGCAGTCCTTCCTCGGGAGTGACCCTCCTGGCCAGGTAGAAGGGCAGCCCCAGCTCTGCAGGTTAGGCGACCTCCTGGCCAGCATCAATGCCTTCCAGGGGACTGGCTGGGCTGGCCCGGTGGCTCTCACCCACAGATCCCCGGCCCCTCCAGCCTGGCAGCATGCCCCCTCTGGCCAAGCCCTGTGAGTCCCTGACTTCTGCAGGAGAAGGGAGAAATTGCGATTCAGCGTGAATTCCTGAGCATAAGAATTTGGCATCTTAAAATTAGAATGGACTCGGTGCCCTTAATTATGCCTGGGTGCACAGTGCAAGCCTCGGCCATAAATAATTAATCAGAGCTAGCTTTTCTGAGCACAGAGGTGGCAGCCACAGGGACCCGGAGCTCTCCCTCAGCCCCCGACGACATCACCTCTCGCCTCCTTGCTCCTCCCACAAGAAATGGCTTCCCAGAGACAGCTGCGGAAAGGGCACTCCTGGGAGCCCAAGTCTGGGCCCACCCTGGAGCAGAGACCAATAGGACATGGGCCCAGAGACGTGGAGGAGTTGCGGACTGGGAAGGACAAGGCAGGGACACACAGGCACCTGAAGTCCCTCGGCCTGGGGATCAAGACTTCCATCCTGCCAGCCACAGCACTCCCGCCAGAATCTCAGACCTCCCTGGACCCCACCTGTCCAAGCTTTACAGGAGAGGCAGGGCCCGGGGGCCAGGGGTGGGCCCTGAGCCAGAGTCTCCAGCTTCAAGCCTGGCTCCACAACTGACCAGCTGCTGACCTTGGGCAAGTTCCAGAGCCTTCTGTGCCTCAGCTTCCTAATCTGTTCCTCTGCCTGATGGGTGTGTGAGGACTGAACGTTCCCAGGTATCAGTCCCTTGGCAGCGTACCTGACTCAGAGAAGGACCCAATGAGTAAAACAGCAAGACTGTGGAACTTGTAGCTGCTGTATGATTAATAATGACAATCGGCAGCAATTGTGTTCTTCACCCTGGCACAGACAGGCCTTTGATGGGAGCTGCCGAAGCTGTGCCCCGAGCCGGGGCAAGAAGATGGGTGAACCTCCTTGTCCTTTCTGGGAAGGGAGCAAGCCAACCTGGTCTGTGGATCCAAAAGCCGGGGAAAGGGCTTTCGAGTTAATTTTCAGCTAAGCGGCTGGTCTTTACTCAGGCAGGCGTTGCAGTGAGCACTTTTTTGTGCACTATTTATGTGTTCTCATAGCAGTGCTCCAGGTGGGAGCAGAGGCTCAGGCAGGTGGGACCTGCCGGCTCCTCCCACCCCCAAGGCTCTTGTCTGTAAAGGGAGGAGGAGGAGGAAAGAACCACCTGCAACTTCTTTCTGGTCACAAGAGCCTCGGGTCCAACCATTCTGATTTCTGAACTCAGAACCCAGCAGAAATTATCATTGTTTTACTGGATAGGAAACTAAATTACAAAAAGCAAATACATTGTAACGTCCAAAGGAGCTGCGGTTTGTAGGTTTACACTGTCAGTTTTCCAGTGCGAGCAATCACAGAATGGAGGGACTGCGGCTGGCTGGGTCCCTAGGTGGCTCCCAGCCCCATGGGGGGTACAGCAGACTGCACCCAGGCCGGCAGGAGCACTGGGGCCGGCGCTCACCTGTGCAGTGACAGAGACGGGTCCGCGGAGCTCCAGCTGGGCAAGAGCACCAGGCTTGGGCACTTCCCTCCGATTTGATGCCCTTGTCCACACGGGGCTCAAGCCGGGAGAAGCAGCACCCAACACCCGCTGGCTGGAGCGTCAAGGCCTCAGGACCAGCTGACGCTTCTGAGCAAGCAGCACCCCAGTCAAAGCATCGATGCTGTGCTGGCCTACGGGGCTGGGGTGACGAGGGCGGCAGAGCCCTATTTCTGCTCATTCAGATCTGCTCCATGGGAAGAGGCAAATGAGGTCCTAAGCCCTCCAGGGGACAAAGCCGGGCCTCAGTGGCACTGCTGTCCATCAGAGGTGGAAGCAAAGTTTGCGGTCAGCCGTGGCTCATTTTTATGAGATACCGAGTCACCGCCACTAGTCTAGTTGCCAGGAAACAGGACGTGGGAGGGACAGGCAAAAATTAAGTACAGCAGCGAGTCACCAAGATGCAGTCCTGTGTGTCACCCCTGAGGACCCGCCTGGAGCCAAGGGCACCTTCTGGCTTCCAGCAGCTGATGGAAATTCAAACCGTGGCATGCTCAGTCCTTGGGATTTCAAAATCTCGAAAGCAGTTCCCTGATTTCAGCCATGGATGCTTCACAGTCAGCTGTTTTCAGAGCAGGTCAGGCAGCACAAATGGATGAGCAATGGAGAGACAGAAAAAGTCCAGCCCGGGGCCTCTGGAACCAGGACCCCGAGGGCCTCCATTCAAGGAGGAGCAGCCTCACTCTGCCCTTCACCAGCCACAGAGACCCTTGGGCTATGGGCAGTGCCCTAAATGCCAGCCATGCCCCGGGGCACGTGGCCACCGCCCAGCAGAACCGCTCCTGGAGTGCAAGGACTGACCCACGGACGGCGCAGGCCCCACTTTCCCGGGGATTGGCACGCAAATGAGCGGCCAATGACGGAGGGGCCAGCACACCTTTCCTCGAAGGTTGGGAGAATAACCATTTCCACTTCGGGTGCCAGGAGGTCTCCGTGGCAACTCCACACCTCCGCCATTGTAGGACAAAAACAACCACAGACAAAACACAGGCGAGTGGCCGTTGCCACATCCCAATAAAACTTTATTTACAAAAACAAGCGTGGGACAGGCTTGTCGTCGAGCCCTGACTTCACCCATGGCAAAGAGGGTACAGTGGTGTCGTTTTGGGAATATTTGAAGGAGGAAGATTCTAGCATCGCAGACATCACCCACCTGTCTCAGAGAGCTGATTAAAAATCTCGCACACGGCAAAGGTGGCACAGGTCCATAGTTCCAGCTATTTGGGAGGCCAAGGCAGGAGGATCACTTGAACCCAGGAGTTTGAGGCTGTACCAAGCTATGATCATGCCACTACATGCCAGCCTGGGCAACAGAGCAAGACCCTGTCTCAAAAAAACAGTCACACAGAGTCTTAGCGTTGGATTAAAAAGTAAATGTCTTATAAAGCTTCCCATGCCACATGCCAGGCTTGTTCACTATGTCTGCATATTCATTCATTCATTCATTTCACCGCCTACTGGGCACTCCCTACACCAGGACAGTGACAGCAAAAACCAAAACAGTCACAGCCCCTGCCCCTCAGAGATTAGTCTACATATTTAAAATCTGTAAGGCCAGGCACGGTGGCTCATGCCTATAATCCCAGCACTTTGAGAGGCTGAGACGGGCGGATCACCTGAGGTCAGGAGTTCAAGACCAGCCTGGCCAACATGGTGAAATCCTGTCCGTAGAAAAATAGAAAAGTTAACCGGGCTTGGTGCTGGGTACCTGTAGTCCCAGCTACTCGCAAGGCTGAGGCAGGAGAATCACTTGAACACGGGAGGTAAAGTTGCAGTAAGCTAGATTGTGCCATTTCACTCCAGCCTGGGCGACAGAAGAGAAGCCATCTCCAAAAGGAAAAATAATGTGTAAATGTACATATTTTATCTCTGTGGATTTTGGTTTTTCCAAGTTTTCTACCATGAGCAATTGTTATGCATTCACAAGTGTATAATGTCCTGTTCCAAACAAAAACCATGAAGGTCACCTCGCAAGACAAGCAGGCTGTGGGGCCCAGAGGCTGCCCCAGGGGACCCAGCGCAGCCTCAGCCTCCCTTCCCACCACAGTGGCCTTGGGCAGGTTGCCTCCTAGAGCCTCAGTTTCATCACCTGCAAAATGGGAACAATTCTATAATCCCCTCTGCCCCTGCTCCCAAAATGCTGCCATTCTGCGTCCCTGGGGTTGTCACCAGCAGGGGCCCCCTCTCTGGGACAGACCTGTCCCCTCCCCGCTCCTGCCTGCTGCCAGCTGTTTGCATTTCTGCTCTTGCACATATGGCTTTGAAGGCATCTGAGTGGCCTCTCCTGGGACTTCTCCCAGCTGGTGTCCTGTGGTCTGGCCCCAACACGGTACAGCAGCCAGTCCTGAGTGCGGGCCGCAGGGCGCGTACCCCCACCACGCCGAGCTGGCGGGAGCTGTCATGGGGGCCTCCATTGGGGATTGGACATTTGGGGCATGAGGATTAGCATGGGGGTGACTCACTGGAAGGGGCGCAAGGGTGCCAGGGGCTACAGCTCTCTCGGGGGCTCCCAGCCCTCTGGGTACCTGGAGGCCATGGTCATGGGGCATGGGCATCCCCAGGCAGCTGCTGAGAACTGAGAGGGCCTGGGATGGGGTGTGCCCTGTGCCCTCCCTGGGCCCTCTCTGGCAGCTTCTCCCTCTTCTTCTCTCCCCTGCCCCCCTCTGTCTTGATGAAACGCCTGACTGGGCTGGAGCCCTCACACCTACCCGCCGGAGTCAGCTACGTCTGCACCACGTCCTCATGTTCTCTCGGCTGCAGCCACAGAATCCGCCCTAGGCTTGGTCATCACGGCAGCAGGTGGGCACCGACCCTGTGCCAGGTGCTGCACTGAGTGCCCTACCTGTGCCAGCCCACCTGAACGCACAGCCTCCTGAAGAATGGGGTCCCTCCTCCCCGTGTCACAGAGGGGACGGACTTCCTGTGGGGAACAAATCTTCCCTGATGCTCCCTCCCACATGGCCGCTTGCCATGTGGCAGATGCCGGACTTCCCCTGAGGACAGGACCAGCACTGTGGCTCCAGCACGGGTGCCTTGGAGGCCCCAGGGTCTCACTGGACATTGCGTGAACGGGGCCTGGCCACCCGCTGACATCATAAGGAAACAGCTGGGTGGGTTTTTCCTGAAACACCAGCTGTGCAGGGTTCCTGCCCAAATCCTCCTCTGTGTGAATGGAGCCTTCCCCTGGGAACCTAACAGTTTCTGCCTCGGTGCTGGGATTGTGGTGGACGGCCCTCGTCAGAAGGCAGAATCCTCCTGCTCCTCGAGATGGGTGCACAGTTGAATTCTAGATTACAGTCCCTGCAAGAAATTCCACGCCGATGCACTTAAAATTCTTCCTTTCCCAGATACCTGCCTTTTCATCCCAAGGGGCCTGAGAGGCTTTCCTTTTGTTGGAAAATCTGAAAAAATTAAATTTAAAAGTCATTATGGCTGGGGTAAGGTTAATAAGAAAATCCTAAACCAGATTTATCAGCTAAGGCCTTCTTTGTGAACCGTTATTAAACTTGCATAAGTTAGAATAGACTCTTCATATAAACTTCACTCAGAAGTCTGCACGGGAACGGACACACAGCCCGGCACATCCCTCCTCAGAAGGATGGGAGCAAGTGATGAGGGGTCAGACAGGTCCTTGCTAAAACGGCAGACGACACCAGGACCCACTTGGTCATGTAAGCAGAGGCAGACGCTCCGGAGGATGTGAGGAGCCAGGAAACCCAGGGGGCCAGGAGCACCAGGCATGGCTGCTCCACCGGGAGGGCGCCCTCCTGCCCCCACCGCCAGGCACAGAGCCTCGCCCGCACTGCCTTCGAGAGTGCGGGCCCCACCTTCTGCCTCTGCAGCTCGCCAGGATCAGGCTCTCTCCACCTCTCCTCTGAACCGCAGACATGAAGGTGCCTCTGGCTGGCAGGTCCTAGCTCACCTACCAGGCTGTGGCTGTAGAGAAGGCCGGGAAAGTGGATTTCTGGAAAACAAGGAAGCAAACTCAGAAGGTGCAGGGGAGCCAGGAAGCCTCACCAATGACCACGACACTGACCCTGGAAACTTGAACAAAAAGAGAGCAGCTCATCTCACAAGAGCTGAGGAGTCTTAGAAAAGCTCCCTTCAGGCGTGGCTGGACCTAGGCTCCACCAGCTCACTATGACGCTCCCCTGGGCCATGCTTCCTGCAGCTGGCTTTGTTCCCAGGCTTCGAATGGTGGCTCCCACCCAACCCAACACCTTCAGATTCATGTGGTTACCATGCCCAGGCCAGACACAGGGGCCACCAGTACTGAGCCCTAATTGGCTGACCCAGGTCATGAGCATATTTCAAACCAGTCATTGAGGCAGGGGCCTCAGGGGCAGAGAACAAGGGTCTGAACCGTTTTCAGGGAAGGACCCAATAGTATTTTCATCTGTGGTCAGGCTGTCCCTATTGCCCTGACTCAATATCACTGTTGGGTCAGGAAAGCAGCCACAGGTGAGATGTAAACGAAGGGGGTGTGGCTGGGTGTCAATAAAACTTTATTTATAGAAATAGGCTTCGGGCCAATGCCACACTAGACCACGGTTCCCAGAGCGCTTCATCCCACCAAGCCCTTAAGGAAACTTGGGGATGACACGGCCGCAGGACCAGAATGGGGTGAGCCTGGTCAAACCTCCCTCAGAATCCTAAAGGCCGGAAGCTACCGAGGGCTGCCACACAGCTCCCAGGGGAGGCCAGCAGATTTTCATTGGAGAAGCAACCCCAAGATTCAGACAGGCTGCTTTGGGGGCATGGCAGTGTCCCCAGCAGAAGGAGTAGCCCTGGGCCAGGTGTCAGAAGCCAGTGGTGTGAGGGGGCCAGAGCAGCGGCTGTGGGTTCAGGGCATGTCTGGAGAGGGCTCGGGGTCCCAGGACCCGGCACATTTTGCAAACTTAGATTCCCGGGTCGGGGAGCTCACTGGCCTTGAGTCCTCCACCAGCCACTGCCAGGCTCACCTGCCTGCCTCACTGCACTGATGGGGCGGGACACCCTCCTCCCTGCCCCAGGCCTGCAAAGCTCCCCCCGCCCTGAGGCCCTCCCACTACCACCTCTGCCTGGAGATGGCCCCAGCAGGGAATTCGTAACAGGGCTCAGCTACCGCCTCCCCTGAAGACGCCAGGAGGGATGGTCACCTCCACCTCACAGCTCTGTCCCACTCCCAGGTCCCCTGGGCACCAGGTCAGCCCCTAGGCCCACTGCAGCGCAGCCCTGGCTGAGGAGGGCTGCCCCTCCTGCCCGGTCCCTGGCCCTCCTGAAACTTGTTCACAGGCCTCGGCGAAGCTCCCTTGAGTGTCCCCTGCAGCGGTCCTCTGCCTGGGGCCTGGCTGCACAGCACCCCTCACGGCCGCAGCCTCAGCAAGGGCTGTCCTCTCTCACACCCAAGAACCGCAGGGCTGAGGCCAGGCAGGCAGCACACTGCACCCCACTCCCAGGCACGTTCACCCCCAGAACGCACACCTTGGATCCCCAGCCACAGCCTGCATAGCCCCTCCCATCCCCCCGACGGGCACCGTCCCCCCATGCCATGATGCTGTGTGAGGCAGTGTGCCCCTGTCCGCTGGGGGACCGTCTGACCCCTGGGCAGCTCAAAACGTGTGAGGAAGGGAAGACGGAGTGAGTCCCGAAGCTCCCTCCTCTAGGGCAGGGTCAGCCTCTCCAGGCCTCCCCGCGTTCCCAGCAGCAGCTTCTGGGCTCCAGCCACCTGGCTCAGGGGCAGAGACAGCAAGGGGATTCCACCCCACGCTGGACATCGGGAGCAGTGGAGGCAGCAACTGTCCACCCCAGAGTTTAACAAAGACAGCTCCTCCGGATCCTGAGGTGAGCTCTTCTACGGCTGAATGTGGCCATGTGAGGAGGGGTCCCAGCTCCACAGACATGGCTGAGATCCCACTTTGGATAAATCCACAGTTTTTCTTCCTAACAAGGTGATTGTTTGGGGGTGATCACCTGCAGGTGACAGGCGGGGCCGCTCGTACCAGACCTGGAGCTGGGCCAGGCTGCAGGGTTTTCGGCCAAGCTTAGAGTCCCAGGCCGAGAAGGCTGATTAAAGGACTTTCTCTGAGACTTTGGAATACAGAGAAAGGACGCAGCACTTGTCTGGGAATAAATTGGAATCTTTTTCCATCCTTGACAGGAGAGCCCCAGTGGTGTGGGTCTGAATTCTGCTGCTGTGACACAGCTCCTGCCTGGGAAAGGGGAGCAGCATAGTTCATTTCTGGGCATTTATATGAAGGCTATCGCTCACTCCTTCATTCACTGACGAGAGGCCAGGCCTTGGGCCAGCAGGGACAGCCCCCACCTGTATGGCCCTGGACCCTGTACACCCGACGTCATTGTCCATGGGTCTGACAGGGCCTCCACGCTCAAGACAGACGCGCGCTGAAGGGGCGCTGGTGGGTCGGGTGAATCTGCGCTGTCTCACGGCCTCTGCTCACACTGGCTCCGAGACTCTGGGCACAGACCTGGCACCTCAGGGCCTCTGCATGCTGCTCTGTGTGTGCAGGGCCCCCTGTGGCAGATACAGTCTGCTGGCTGCCTGACGCCCCTTTCCCACCTCTTCTCTGTTTCCCACCTCACAAGGCTCCATTCTTCGGGCTTGTGGTGGCCAGGGGACATCGCCCTAGCCGACAGAGCATTGGCACAAGTCAGCTGGGGAGGGGCACTCTGGGAAGACTCTTTCTTACTGAAGGGAAAGCTGTACGTCTCAGGCAGCCAGAGGGCCAGGCCAAGCTGCAGTGTCCCGACCACGGGAGGCTGGGGAAGGATAGAGCCCCGCCCCGACAGGCCCAGCCACCAGCAGCCCTGGAAGGTCAGGTTCCCGGGTTCAGGCCACCACAGTGCCAGTTTCTGTTTGCTGCACTCGAGGGCTCCTCCTTACTCCCGGCTGAGGGCAGGTATGAAGGTGGCCCGGATGAGGTCCCCGACACCCTTCCAGCCTTGTCTTAACCTGATCACCTCTTGAGATCACCATCTCCAAATACAGTCACACTCTGAGGTCTTGGGGGTCTAGGGCTTCAAACATAGAAATCTCAGGACATGCCATTCAGCCCCTAGCAGTGCCCCACGGCAGGACACAGGGCTTCCCACCTGTGACGCCCCAGCGCCCGTCCTGGGAGGAAGGGTTTGTGATCACAGGACTGTCACATCACGTGGCACTTCTCAGCCATCTCAGCTGCACACAGCAACGCAAAGGAATCCCAGATCCACAGTGCTAAGCAGAAGAAGCCAGACACAAGTGCTGGAAGGTTCCATCCACATAAAGGACAAACCCAGGTGAACTCATCTGTGACACCAGAAGTCAATGTGAGCTTACGAGGTTCCTACAGCAAATGACCACAGACTTGGGGCTTGAAACAACAGGAATTTACTCCGTCAGTCTGAAATCACCGGGAATTTACTCCGTCAGTCTGAAATCACCGGGAACTTACTCCTTCGGTCTGAAATCACCGGGAATTTATTCCTTTGGTCTGAAATCACCGGGAATTTACTCCGTCGGTCTG